GGCGTCTTGTTGGACTTTTGCTCTGGAGACCAGTTCCGGATTGTGATGCCGCTCCCAAACATAAGTGTGTCCACATCTTCGCTCAACACGGCATCCACAATGCCCTCTCTTTGCAGTAGTGCGCATTCTGCTTCTGCTTCCCCGGGCGCTAGATGTATCGGAAAGCCAAACTGCTTCAACAGCTTCTTCGCGAGAAAATCAGGGATCGAGGCAATGTTAGGCCCCGTGCGCTTGTTTCTCTTGAAAGGGGGTTTATTAGGCCCGTCGAATACAAATATGGGGTGAATAGAGAGCGAGATCAGGCGGAGAAGTCGATAGTAGAAGGTCCGCAGCGCTGGGTTGGTGCCACCTAAATGCCGAAGATTAGCTCGGGGATTATCTTTGGAGTCGCGTGCATAATACCTTTACTCGCCTGTATCTGAAATAGCCAAATAGACACATCTATAGCAATGCGGAGCGGTCTGCCAGTGGCCTCGAATTTCTCTACCGCAAGTTTTGAGAGCGCAATGCGCTGGCCGGGGCCAATCTCTTTGTAGATTCTAGGACAGTCAGTAACAATATATCAGACATCTTCATATGCGCCGTACCCATGGATGCCCATTGCGACCGCGTGGCCGTGGGCTAGTCCATCATGACTCTTCTGTCATGATGTTGTTGCTACCGAGTAGGTTGTCATGGCGTCGGCCGGGGCCGATAAGATTGTTGCCACGGCGACAGGCGCCCAAACATGGCGAGCGACGACCGCATTCCGCGCGTCGACGCACCGACAACGTAGACCACACCAAGACGACACGCTTTTCCCCACGAGCCATCCCTTTCCTAGACGAAGTAATGGCATCGCGAGTGAGAGCAACCATGCCGGACGACGACGCCAACCGCAGTTACCCAGAGTCCTCGCCCGACCCACTCGCCGCGTCGCTGAGAGAAACCAAGACGAATGCGCGGCGCAGAACAACGCGGCCATCCAAGGAACCGCTCGCGTCGAGCTCTCCCAGCAAACAGAATCGCCGCCGAAGCGTCTCGGAGCAGACAATCGAGTACTCATCGCCGTCGAAGCAGATGGTCATGAACACGGGCAGAACGGGCAGCGCAAGCCCATGGCGGATCAAGGTCACCGTGCAGGCCGAGCCTGGCAGTGGATCAGACGACGAGAACATCGAATCTCCAACAGCCAGACGGTTTACTCGAACGACGACAACAACCGTGCCTCTGAAGGATGCCGACGCGTCTTCTCCGGTGAAGCGACGCGGACGACCTCGAAAGTCAGACGCAGCGACGGCCAAATCAAAGCGAAGCGGAACTCCAGCAAGGAAGAGATCTCAATCCAAAGGACGACGGCGGTCGAGCATTGGCGTTACCGATGCGAGCATGGCGGATCTGTCCACTGTTGCCGTGCCGAAGAAACGAAGAGGACGACCGAGGAAGAGCATCCAGGCTACCGCAGAAGATGAGACGTCGATTGCGCATGAGGCTCCCACTGAATCGCTGGATGAGAATATAGCCGAACCGGAGCCTGAGCCACCGCAAGCGCCTCCATTAGAGACCCCAGATTTGCAGCCGACATTGGCAGGCCTTGCAGAGGAACGATTGCAATCATCATCGCCCACTATTGAGAACACCCCTCAGGAGCCCTATGTCAGGCCACCCCACGGGCAATACGTCCAACAAATTCGGCTTGATGAACCGGAACATGTCACAATAAGGCGTTTGGCAGAACAGAGAGCGGAGCAACAAAAATTAAATGCGCCCACGCCCCGCTCGTGTCATGCTCCTCGCAATACCGAAACATCTCGGAAAATCAAAGCGAGAAAACTCACGCCCGGGGCGAAAGAAAATATTGTCACAGAGAAAGATTCGTCCGATGAAGAGGCAAACCCAACGCCCTCAACATCAGATGAGGAAGGTCCCGTTTCTAAAACGCTTGCGTTGCCTGCAGCGCCATCTCTAGTCGAAGACATTTCGTCTATTCATGAGACTACGCTAGCTCAAGCCCAAGACAGCGATGAGGAAGATGACCTAGGCGATATTACAAACCTCGCCTTCGACGAAGGCGCAACGAGGATGCCTGATGATACCGTTATCCTCGAGAGCGAGAATTTTAGCATGGTGTCTGTGGATTCATTACCCAGCAATGGCGGCCTGACAAGTTCAGCAAATAACAATACAATACAGCTTCTCGATCATTCGTATCTCCAAATCCCATCAGAAGCTCCCCGAAGAACTCGCAGTAGCCCTTTGCGCTCGCCAAAGGTAACAGTTGAGCCCTTCCACACACAGCAAACCACATCACACGTTCCATCATCCCCTCCTGTCTTGTCAATGCGCAAGCAGACACCGATGATGGACGAGCGGTCTCCGTCAAACCCACCTACCATCCAACCAGCTTACCACTCTCCTTCGAAGACTACGACGCCCAGGCTTACGCGCGTAGTTAAGGCAGGAGTTGCACTTCAAGGTGTGCTAGATCCAGGCCGCCTCACTCCGACGGCCGAGTCATCTGAGGAGGCCATTGACGAGCAAAGAGATCGCCTCGATGATCTTTTTCGGGGATTCAGCGAAGGTACCAGAAGAGAGCTTCAGGCAGGACTTAGGTTAGGAGAGCAACTAGCAAGGCATAATCAAGAACGCAAAAGCCGAGAATCTTCGCCAGCGTTATCAAGTCCGTGCAAGATGCCTCTTTTGAAGAGGCCAGGTAGCACTATCTTGGAATCAAGATACAAGCATCGAAATTCGCGGATGCTTACGCCTGACGAACAGGACTATGTGCTCTCGGTCCCTCCCTCGCCGGAGCCCGACACTGAAGTCAAATACCCATTACTGCGAGTCAATAAACTCGAACACCAGCTGGTCAGTCCAGCAAGAAGTGAAGATGAGATGAGCTGGCGTGTGGATACACCCCCACCAAGAGCAGAAAAAAGTGATTCTCAGCACCTTATCGCTAGCAATGAGGCCGGACTTGAATTTCAGGATAGGGAAATTGTTGCCGTATCAGGGGCAATGCAGCGAGAAGACTACTCCGATATTTGGCAAGAGGAGGCTAGTAGATCTTCAGATTTACCAATGCCTAGTGATGCTTTATCCGAAATGGCAGCTGAGCCAACTCCGCAGCTGCAGGACCTATTCATTGATGACGACCAGCTGGTGAAACCAGCAAGAGGCAAGATTCCAAGAACATGGCGACGGAAAAGTTCGAGCGACTTTAATTACAGTGACGAAGCCGAGCCACCTGAAAATAACTCTTCAGCAACAAGTCCAGAGGAACCAGCATCTACGGCTATGAACAATGACAAAACTAAAGTTGTGGAGCCTATAATCTTCGAAGAGCCTGACAACGAAGATGATAGCGAGAGTGAAACAAGCGATGACACCGGCATGTTCTTTCAATCCAACCCCCCGAACATATTTCGAAAGGGTACTACCGAGCGTAGGCGGAGAAGAAGTGATAAGCTAGATCTTTCCCTACTCATGGAAGAAGGGGTCAGCATTCAACCGGAGTCCTCACCTGCGGCCAAGACACCAATTCATACGAAGCCAAATCCCTTCAAGGGCACCCCGCCGCAATTTGCCAGGCTCCAGACATCCCCTGCTAAGAGCAGCCCGCTGAGATACGAGATTCAAGCGCCCGACACAGAGAATAGCCATTATAATGATTTTGACGAGTCGACACTGCCTTTGAGCTCGCCTTTCCGCACTAATGTCGACGACACGGTAGCTTCTCATGAGTTACAGTTTCGGGCTGAAATGGAAGGCACGACAGACTCGAGCCTTCGTCGTGTGCGAGACGAAGCAGATGAACGCGCACTGGCCTATGAGACTCAAGAGCGGACCCTCAATGAGATCGAGGAAGTCACCGAGCCATCACGAACCTTCCGTTCCACGATGCTGATGCCTTCTTCACCACCTCAGGTCATCGAGGATAGCATTCTGGCACCCCAGCGGACATACCCTCCTCTTTTCGGCAATATGGAAGCTACAGCCACAGCCCCAATTCACCGTACAAGTCTGCAAGCCTCTAGTTCCCCAACCTCGGTCACATCGCCTGTGGAACAAGCACCACAACCACAACGCCCCGGGCTCTTTAGCCGCCTATCTTCGACGCTTTGGAATGCCCTTGGAAGTTCTGGGCCGCCTCCTCCGCACCCAGCAACCAATAATCTAGATTCGCTGCCGAAGGTCGAGCCATGGACGAAGACCCACTACAAGACGCTTGACAAACTGTACCAGCTCCACAAGAAGCAGCCAACCATCTTCCTCCCGTCCTCACCTATGACAGTAAAAAACGCTAATAATGTTCTTCTCACCCATTTTTTGCATACACAAAAGCACGCCTTCGTCGGCGCCCGCTTCAGTAGCTGGGGCTACAGCGTCACAATGTCCGAATCGCTTCTTGTGCTTTGTGCGGTGTTCATGCAGTTATTGACGCTCAAGGATATCGAAGAGTATGAAAAGGTCAACAGAAAGGAGATTCAGATGGGTGAATGTAGTCCTGGAGAGGCGGGAACTGAGTTCGACGGGCTGTGTGTTGCGACGAGGTTGGCTAGTGTGATTATGGGAGAAGAGCTGAGGAGAGATGAGAAGAGGGGGAAGATAGTTCGGAAGGTGGGTGGTATGGATATTGAGTGGCCAAACTAATAGGCCCTTCTATTAATGACATGAGAAGAAGTGGGAATCTGTGATTCTCGTCTCTTTCAATCGTTAGACTGCAGAGGGAGGGAATGGCGTATGAAGGTATTTGCGAAATGGGCTAGGGCGATCTGGGATTTTGGTAGTTTATTCAAGTATAATACCTGTTAGTTAAATAAATTGAATAAATAGCAACAACAATGAATTACACAAAGAATAATGCATTGATCCTATACATTCACTAAATCTAGTAATAATGGATCGCAACGACCAACCGAAGGAAAAGAACCTGCGATGCGCCACATGCTAATTCCCACTATCCTGGGAAGAAAAAGAAAAAATTTTAAACCTCTCAGAGGAGATTAAAAATAAGAAGAGGGCTCAACCGCGATTCGAACGCGGGGCCTCCTGCAGGCTTGAGCTAACCCAAAGCAGGAATCATACCACTAGACCATTGAGCCTCGATATATTGTGTTAGACTACCTTCATACTTAAACATAGTATATTCATTATTCTAAATTAGAAGTGAGTCTCGTACAACGAGCAGTGAAGGTAAAGAAGAAGGGGGACGAGGCGGTGAAGCGGGAGACGTGATTGGTGGGGCTTTGGTTGATGGATAAGCGAGGTGCGCCTACCCAATTGTGTGGGCTTTAATGATGCGTGGACTGTGGAGCACCTTGACTCGGGAATATTTACGCGCTCTTGCGCGTGGCATGTTGGATGTGCTTTGGGACTTATTCTATATAGATTTATCATGTGTGCAGATATCTGACTTAAATTTTAAAAAAAAAAAAAAAAAAATAATAATAAATTTTTTTTTTATTTTTTTTTTTTAAAATCCTGCTAATATGATGTTTTGTGCTGGACTAGTACGGTGATGGTTTATGAAGGAGTTCCTGTTGTAGAGAGTGGCGGTGCTGATGTTGAGGCTTGATGAAAGGTGATGTTCGGGGAGCCTCGCTGCTGGTATTCAGGAGAGAGTTTCCCGCTGCGCTAGTAGGTCCTTTGGTTTCCAAATATCATGGTAAATAGCAAATACCTTTTTACAAGTTCCCTAATCCACACATACCATTGATCTAAATAAAAATAAAAATATCTTGATATCCTACTCATACGGAATATGCTATCTTTTGCTATCGTTCGCTTCCCACAATCTTCAAGCAACACCCCTAACCAACGTCTCCGTGCTCCCCTCCCTCTCCCCCTTCCGTCTCTTCCCCCCCTCCTTATCCTCAACCGTAACACGCACCTCCCTCACAACCTGAATCTCCCCCAAATTCTCCGCATCGCTGGAGCCTTGCGAAAACTTGCCGTCGAGCGGCTCAAGCATGGTGGCCGGGCCGTTGGACGGCCGACCAAAGGTGCTACGTCCGTAGGGCTGCCCACTCGCACTATTGTACTTGTTCCGCGAGGAGAAGACGCCGGGGAGGAATCTTGTGATTAGTGGGCGGAGGCAGGGGAGGCAGGAGCAAATTATGCCGATGTTGGCCTCGACCGAGGACCATGTGGCGGCCGGGGGGTTGTCGTAGGTTTGGTCGTTGGAGTTGGATATCGCGACGAGGGATTGGAGGCGGAGGATGGAGACTATGCAGACACTGATGGACTTCTTGTTAGCGAGGGACAGTGGTGAGAGTGGGATGGACGGGTGTCACGGGCTAGTGTCGTTGCGGAAGGTTGCTCGTGGCTGTTGCAGTTCAATGGTGGTATCCGTTCCGATGTCGCACAGTTGTGGTACGGAGTTGGATGTGAGGCAATGGCAGAGGTCCACTTGTTTGAGCATGCTTCATGCTCTGCGGTGTAAAGGACTAGAAATGGTCTACTTACAAGCCTCCGATTGCAAAGATGCCAATGAGAGCCTGTTTTTGCCGCCGGGGGAGGTTGAGGCTTCGGATCACTGGCATGGGGAGGAGGATGATTGCTAGATCGGTGGCGATGTTGATGGCGGCATTTGTGAACCACATTGCGAACTGGTTGATGCATCTTGCCTGCTCTTTCGTCCAAAAAGCGCGTACTGGTATGCAGGCGAATATACTTCCGAAGATTGTCCAACTAGTGTAAGCGGTGACGACAGAGATGGTGGTCCAGCAAGCAATCTGAAACTCCTTTGTTGAGAAGACTCTCTTGTACTGGAGAAGGATTGAACTCTTCGTCAGACCGAGCGATAGATAGTAGACAATCAAGCTTGCCCAGAATGCCTACAAGTCTAGTCAGTCTGAAGAATTGATTCGTTTGTGAAGTAGATTGCACCTGCAGAGATTTCTCCGTGTCTACACCTTCCAGTTCGTAGACGTGCATGCCCATGCCATATTTGGCTTCTATTATTGGGTAAATCGTCGTGAACAAAATGAGTAAAGCAAGGGAACGTACGGAGACCAATACAAATGGTCAGTCCAATGGAACAGAGCTGGCAAAATGATTAGCTGCTAGTTCAAGAAATTCATGTGATACGTGAGGTCTCATACCATAGCCAGGGCGACAAAGTAGTCTTCCACACTGGCGCATTGGATAAGAAAAAAACGCGTGTATAGGCGCATGATCACAACAATAAGAGCCAGCCCGGAAAACACTCCTGAGACCTCAGTGGCCGTCAGGCCGCGGCCGCTCATAGCCATGATGGTATTCGTATCCAAGGATCAGCACCTAGTCTTGACGTCCATGTATCATAGGAATTTTGAAATGAAAGGCTAAAGTCCTCGTTGATTTCCATCCGGGGAACCGAGTCCATATATCCACCTACGAAGGAACGGTAACACACGATGTACCGGCAGAGGCACTACTACTGAATGTGTGGATGAGAACGTCCGGCTCGACCCACATTTTTCTGAAGTCTTTGTGACGGGCAACAGTCTAATTAACCTAGCGTGAGGCTCGTCAAGCATGTCACCGGGAGAAAGCACGCCGGTTGGGTTGGATAGAAAATAGTCTAGGTGGGTCGTATGTCATGGCGTCGCCGTTTGGGTGGAGTATCACGAACACCCAGAGAGCCAGACGCGCCTTGGTGCACGACAGTATACTGAACGGCCTGGTAGCTTTTCATTCTTCGGAGGGCCAAGGGCCGACCAGCTGCACCTCACGAATAACCCGATGAATTGGCAGGAGTGCCTGTGGGACATAGATACCTAGACACCAAAAAGCGCCTGGAGCTTGGAGCATTTCCAGAAGATCGAGAGATTTTGCTACGCGAGCCTCGAGGTTTCATGATCGGCGTATGGTTGTTCTGAATGTAGTAACTGTTCGAACCCTCAAGACATTTGACGTTTGACTTCTGGTCATGATGGACAGGGGAAGGTCGCCTTACGGTGTTTGCGTATCTGTGCCTACAGCTTCTGGAACGAGTGAGCAAGCGATCGGCTAGGAAGATGCGGGGTGAGTACACGCTCCCCCTGTACGGCCGGCAAATGGGCCTCTTTGAGGGTTTTTTGTATGGAGGCACGGGCACGGTCCCTCTCAGCACTAACATCCCGTTCATGGAGGGAGCCAGTACTCAAAGTAATAGCGGAAATAATAGCCTTGTCGAGATGACCGTAATCGCTTAGTAAATTTTAGGTAAAGGGGGTTTCAAGACGTTGCACGCATTTCGTACGTGTAGGTCCACTCCAGATCTCGTAACCCTTTTCAGCGCCTTTTATTGGGCCGTTCATAATGAAAATTGAGTAGGAAAAGCTTTCTTCCAAATCAATGGACCCGATCCTGAATCAACGGGTCCGGATGTGGCTACTCGAGTCAGGGGTAAAATCTTCAATTCTCCTCGGGCCGATGTTCGACTTCTGACTTTCTTGGGACCTAGTCGTAAGTGTTCGCCTATCAAGCCATTGAAAAACGATGGCACGCCAGTAGCCATTGCTGTACCTAATCTTCTGACATATGCACCTCAAAATTAACAGATGCGGATCTGTGTACCTTCATCCGTCATGTATATTTTTAAAAAAAAAAAGAACATTCCCACATCAACCTCACAACAACACTACATCACACCATCCTACCCAATCATCCACCACATAGAACCTTCATGTTCCCACGTGCAAACCCCCCACCTTGAAAAGCTTCCCATCCACCCATCCGTCGCATTTCCCCGACCAAAACCCTTCCGTCTAGCCTACCTAGTCTTAACCCATCCCCATAAATGTTTCTGAATTTTCCCTTAAGGGCGCCCCAACAGCACCTACCGAAAACCGAACCTAAATGCTATCTGCCCTACTCCTATGCTGGGACGTAAAATTTTGCTGTGGTCGAGTCGTGACTTGGAAGGCGCTCGGAAACGGGTGTGGCTCAGGCTAGTTGATTGAACAGGCACGATCATAATGGTTCGATCGTAGGTGGATCTCCATTATCCGAGTGTGGAAGCCGAAATATTTAGGTCCCTTTGAGATTTATTTTGGGCCAATTCTGCCCTGCCTTTATTTGCCGTTGCCCGCCGGTGTCAGAAGCCTACACTGATACCAAGAAAACGGACTAAGAGAAATGCTCTTCCTGAACCATCGTGCCATGGCCTAGTCGATTCACATGAGGAGTGAAGATAGTGTAAGGTATTCGTTTCTAATGCTTCCTTATCTTTAAAGTGTAGCTGCTTAGTATTGGGTGGGGGTGGGGGCGAAACGTTAAAGAGACCTAATATATGTATCCAACAGCAAAAGTAGTGCTTGAATATTTTGCAGAGCAGAGAAATCCCTTCCCTATTCGTCCAAGACACCATTAAATATATAAAGATATGCTTCTCTGAGAATCCAATCGCATACTCGAACGTTGAAAAGTATGCGGCCCAAAAAATCTTGCATTAACCTGTACAAACAAATAGCGCTGTATGCTTAAAGAAAATGAGTTACCGGAAAATAAGCCCAACCACCAGGGTAGACGGGTATCATGGACAGTAGACTGAGAAGACAATGCCGCACCAAGGAATACAGGAAGCCGAGCAGTAAAGACACTTGCGCGTGAATCAAGACGGTGTAACCGCCAGCACCGCTCAAGGCGAGACTAGACGCATAGGGACTCTACCGAAGCGTTAAATCCTCAAATGAATCATCTCGTCATCTCATGTATCATCTTTCGCTTCGTGTTATTCGCGTTGGTATCCGTCGTTCCATGCGCCTATGCGCGAATTTAACCTGGATGGTGTAAGAGCGGGTTACTATAATAGAAGTCATTCTACATACTGGTCATCTTCCTCAATCTCTAGGCGATTGTTGTCCCCGGGTATTAGCTCGTAGTCGTCCTCTGGAGGAAGATAAAGGGCGCTCGCGGCCATACCAAGGCTACTGAGAACTAGGATTGTCCATGAGATGGTAACGAGTGTCCAAGAAAGATCAAGGTACCATCCCTCAAAAAAGCGATCGTCGTGGTCATACAGGAAGGCCTGTAATTTATCAGCTGTCCAGCCCGTGATTCGTGCAACTAGAGCAGGTCGCTATGAACTCTGAAGACGAGCCTTGGCCGGGGCGTACTCACCACAAGAGCCATGCCC